GGCGCTGCCTGCATGGCCGCCAAACTCCATCCTGACCAGGGTGCACCTCGCTGAGTTCTCGAGAGAAATGAGCATGGCACCCATAGCAGACACTCTCTGAGGCCAATGTCAATCAGACACAGCTGTGTTGCAGGTAGCCAGGCTGGTAAAACTGTTAAAACAACCTTTGTTGGACTACAGAAAGACATCCCCACAGTTCTATTCCATCTCCTACTCTATTGTGATTCCCCAGTGGAGTACATATGAGAGCAGTAGGAGTCCTGTTCCTTAGAGCCTGCAGGGTTGCTTCTGCCCGTGGCCTCCCACACAGTCAGAGCTTTTCCTGTGAGTGCTGCAGAGGCTGTGTTCTTTCATTACAGCACCAGTGGGGGCAGTTGTAGGCATGAACGCTACAGTCAAAGCCCAATAACTGCTTTCTCTACCATTTCCAGGAATGTCTTCTTCAGCTGCAGGGGCAAACTTGAAGAGAGGAGGTTTTACAGTATGTGTCAACCTCTCATTTTACCGAGAAAGGAGAAGGATCTCCATCAACATTCATCCTATACCTGTCAGGAGCAAAGCCATTCTATGTGGGCAGCTCTGAAGGCCACACACGGTGGAAGAGAATATGAAAGACATAAAGTAAAATGCAGAAATATTTAATGAATGTTTACATAGGAAAATGGGATTACTTCGAGCAGAGGCTCCACAGTACAAGTTTTACATGATCCCACGTTTGATTTCATGCAGAAAATGTGCCTTACATTATAGCAGGGTATGGACTAGTTCTGGGGAACCTCGCATATCAGAGGATCATAGGAAAAAAATATAATACAAAAAGTGGAGACAGAGATAGGTAGGTGGCTTAAGGAATGGAAGCTGAGACACGAGCCGGGTTGTCAGAAAGCCCGGGATTGCCTCTTCCTGTCAGTATTTCCTAGAGTAGCTGAGGCTTGTCAGGTATTCTGAAAGCAGGGGCTTGAAAATTCCTTCTTGATCCTGCATCATGATCGTGGCTTACGAAAGAATTTCTGCAGGACCACGGCCAGCGGCTTTAGCAGGGCGGGCACCTTCTGCCACAGTAGCGGCTGCCCAAGCTGGACAAGTCCAAGCCCCCCGACGTGATGGGCACGCCCTCAGAGCTGAGGATGCTGCCA